CAAAAACAGACAGACAGATAAGTGAAGGAAGTAACCTTTGTTAAATCTCTCCCGTTGTTGGTGATTGGCTCTGGTTGTTGGTGCTGTTGGTTGGTTGGTTATCTTTGTCACCTCCCGATGAACCTTCTGTATAGCTGACCTTGGGAGACTCAGAGTCACAAAACGCTCCAAAGGAATAGAAACGACGGTTATTCGTGTTTAGGCCTATGTGGTTCAACCCAACAGTAATAACATTAAAAACCTCAAATTGCCTCAAGAGTGGCGCTATGCACCTATATATATATATATATATATATATATATATGCTCATTTCGTCCTATTCGGGACTTGTCAGCTGTATGTACCTGCATTTCTCAGTGAGTGATGATGTTCCCACCGAGGCTCGAAACCGACACGTCGATCTGAGACCGAGCACTTCGGTCCAATCAATCGACGGGAAAATATAAAATTCAATTAAAGTGTTATATGAAACCTGTTTAATTTAACTTTAAAAAATGTTTTTTTTTGCAACGGTATAACATAGTGAACTAGTATTTTTTAAAAGCAATTTTTGTGTTTAGTTTTTGGGGATAACGTGTCCCTTTCAAACTGTTCATAAAACACTTCCAAAAAATTACAATTTTGACAACCATTTACTATTCTTTGTCATAATCACATTGTCATCTGTCATCGCGTATATACTTTTGAATGTATCTCTGTGATATTTCATGTATCATATGTAGATATAGTTACTTTAAGAAGAAGAAGAAGAACGTACACTTGTTTGAATGAATCATACAAGACATTGACAGGATATTTACATTACTTTTTAATAAAGCAGATACAAGTGTGTGTGTGTGTGTGTGTGTATTAGGCGTGGGTAACATGTGCTCATTCGCCCCTAGTTTATATAGGCTTGTGGGGCATGTTTATTCAAGGCAGAGAGAGAGAGAGAGCAAAAGTATAAAACTTGGGCACTGTGGTAGAGCATAACTCCATTATGCATAAGATTTTATTTCGATAAATCACACAGTGTTGTGTTGTACAGTAATATTAATTGATATTATTATTACTGTATTATATATTATATTACTATACAACAACACTGTGTGATTTAACAAAATAAAATCTTATCCATAATGGTAGAGAGCACTTTGAAAGGTTTCAACTGATATCACTGGTCTCTGTGTATGTTAGGATGCACACAGTGGAGATATAGCGTGACGTATACTTCAGTGAGTGATAGAAGTAATTTATTTTATAGGGTGTTTGTATGTTGTTATCTGAGCTTCCCATGTCTATGTGTCTTCGATTCGTCTTAGGCACACCTAGATAAGCCAGATTCCCAGATTACTTAAGGTTCTTAGCCTAGTAAATAAACTTGTCATTTAGATTGTGGGTTTTTTGTTGCGATTCGAATTCATCTCGGTGTAGACTTATTCAAAAACCACCATCGCTTAGAGGGATTATTGAAAACTAGATGTGTTCTTTCGTTCCAGTTGGGGACTCTTCAACATTACACACCAATGATCCCACAAGGGATTGAAATTAATCCGAATTCTTACAAAAATCCATAATTTACTCATCGATCTCCAGCTCACTGATGGACACTTGGTAGATATTTTGAAGCTGTAAGGAGAAGTGCTTAGTGTCCAGTGGAGTTCACCATGTCAAGGTTGAGTGATTACTAATCGAAAGTATTGGCTGGGGATTACGCTGGATCACGAGAGTTCTTGTGCAAATGCCTAAATGGTCAATGAAGCCTAGCTTTATAACCTGAGGCGTTCCAAATAAGGGCGAAACAGCTGACTAGTTATTAACGGAATTTACTACTGCGAAATAAACTGCTATTGGTGCGCTTTTCATGTCTCATTTATTAAGTTTCTTGGATTCGTCACCACTTTAACATACTCAACGAATACACTAAATTATTATCTCAGAGATCCTTGAAATCTCTGACTTTTGCCGTGTACTGTGTTGTAAGAATGTAAACTTTTCGTGGTCAGCGTTTGGTATAAACAGCAGAAATTAATGTTTATTGGTTGTATATTAGTACAAATCCAAGTCGTATTGCAGTAGAACGTACTTACATGTCTTTCACCCCACCCCCACCCCGCTAGGTTTCGCTCAATTTGTTTGTTTGTTTGTCATCAAATTCAACTCTTTTTCCGCTGTTTCTTTGTTCCACTGAATATCCATTATTTACTACAACACATAAACCGGTTACATAGTAATTACAAGTCCCATTTTCATTAATATCTAATGAACTCTTTTGATTTTAAGTGTAAATTCTTACAGTTCACACCTAATCTGGTGACTTTTACCGTTGTTGTTTTTTTTGGTTCTAAGTTTTTTCTAAGTTAATATCTAAGGTTATTGTTGTAAGGAATCAATTTTCTTAAATAGGTTTAAAGTGGAATTAAGTAGTTTTTTTTTATAGCTTTTTGGTTCTATTTATGTATTTTTTGTCCTACGTTTCTTTTGTATATATATATATATATATATATATATATATATTGTGACTATTTGAGATAGATTTGCAAAACTTTAGAGTTCGGTCAAGTTCAACAACTTAGTTTGTCTGATTTCTTTGGAAGAAAACACAATGAGTTTAAGTAGCACTTTGTACTGGTCTTATGAATTGGAGTAGACGTTTTAATAAGCACTTACTTTCAGGTTTTATAATGGTTCCTTAACTGAGGTCAGCTTATAGTCAAGTTTGTAATCAAATCAACACTTAAAAATTAATCTGATGTGCTCACTAGCGATTGGCTCTTTACAGGTAGTTACTTAGAGTTCCAGTGAGAAGTTTTGACTAGCGGATGGACAACGACGTTGCCTGGCGATTACGCTACATGTCGTGGATTGACAGAAGTTGTAATTCATAGGCCACTGGACCAGGTACATGCAGCTGACTAGTCAACGTGCTTTTGTCGCTGCCTACCGACAAATGAAAAGCCTATACCCTGCAGTTTTTGATGGAGACATATGGATCTTCGGGCAGGACTCCAAGGCTTCTGCGCAGTTGAGTGGCGTTCAAGATCTGTCAGCGATGGAGCTGCTACTTGAGACGCTGCTGGGAGGTCGGGCGAAAGCAGCATATGAAGGTGTCGGCCGAAGTATGGACGAATGTTCGACAGGGTCAGGCAAACAGTTTCCAAAGTGGGAAGGACCATATATGGTCACTTCGAGATGGGGTTACGCAGACACAGTCGCAATGGCGAACAATAAGAGGCACGTGAACGTCAGCGAGCTCCAGAAATGGATACAGCGAGACAAGCCAACGATGACGCCTGCACCAAGTAGATCAAGCCGACTTCAGTCGCACGTATTTGACGGGGGGACGAGTGTGGTGAGAGCAGGCTGCTAGCCGATTGGTTGGCACTAATCTACGTTAAGGTCTAGGTCACTAATATGGGCCGTGAGAAAATATGAACAAGCCTGAGTCAACAACCAATCACAGCGAAGTTAACGTGGCAAAATATGATTCGCAGAGAGAACTCTATTTGTCAAGGAATCCCGAAACAACCAATCAAAAGCCTGCGTTTGTCTACCTAAACAACCAATCAGATGACTGCGCTTGTCTATAATAATGTAGTTGAAAGATGTATAAATACGTGTTGATTTTCATAATAAAACGATCTGTTGCCTGGCCCTTGTCTTCTGTTGTTACACTTTCCCAGGCATCTTATCAAAATGGGTCACTGGGTGGACTTCGTAAAATCCTTTAAAATTATCAATGGGCGAAATAGTTCAGTTCTCGTGAAGTTTGCCAGAGCAATCTCTATCAGACGCCCGAAACCCGATTTATATGTTGAGAAAGAAGCAGTTATCAGTCTTTCTTTCCTCAAGCAACTGGATGTGTTTACCCTCTGTCTCATTTGATTGCATGACCTTCGGCTTTAACCACACCTCACCTTTGATACAGTACAATTTTACTTATCTCTTGTTTCTATGACTTGAATTGAACTCACTATTCAAGTGTTGGTTTGTAGGGGTTTTATTGGTTACAGGATTTTCATCATGAGCTGACATTAGTTAGAGAACCATTGGAAAACCTGGCAGTACTGGACAGCTGTTTCGTTCTACTCTGTGACTCTTCAGCAATACACACCCATTGGGATTCGAACCCAGAATTCGCCTTGTAACCAGAAGGTCCTGAGTTCGAATTCCGGTGGATGCGTACTGATGAAGAGTCACAAACTAGGACGAAACAGTTGTCCAGTAGTCCCAGGTTTTCCAATGGTTCTCTAACTAATATCAGCTCATGATGAAAATCCTGAACTCACTATATTGTTGCTCAATGTTTTAGTTACTCATCATTGTAATCACTTTTTGTCTTTATAACGTAACTCCTTTGCCACTGTATGCGTGCGTTGACTTTTGTCTAAACCTGAACTCTTTGAGTAAAATCTGTGTAAGTGTAATTCTCTTAGCACTGTTCATTAAGTTTGGAGTCTCTTGTCATTAATTGACATTATGTAACATTTACAAGTATCCTAAAATTGTTCTTTACATGAACTTATTATTAATTTATTAAGTCTATAGGCGTCGGTGGCACAACATCAGAATGCTTGCCAACCACGCCTCATGTGGTCCGGGGTTCGATCCTCGGCCACCGACGCACTCCTATACCTCTCTAAGCCAGTGTAATAAGACTGGTAAAGAGGTAAGGTTGGGCATAAGGCTTGCTGCCCCATCCCGTAAAAATAGTTACCACTGCTACCGAAACTTCAAACCTCTACCTTGAAGCCCTATGTTTCACTGAGAACGTAAAAGACTTAAAAAAAAACAAAAAAATAGGCAGTTGACGACGAGAAGGCAACAAAATAAATGATGGTAACATCTTATGCTGCAAAAACTGTTGTTCTTGACTTATTCAAATTCGTAAAGGGGGAAGAAATATATCAGACTTTGGTTCATTTTGTTATGTGGTAGGTGATGGCCGGAGATTCTATTTGTTATCGTTTTTTATCAACCCTTGTTTTATCCACACTTTATTTTGTTCCTCTCCTCAATAGTTACGATGTGCAGCAGTTGCCTATCCTTGTCAAAGTGAGTCATCTATGCCGGCTACATCATTGCTGACCACTTCTTCACCGTCACTGGAGGATAATATACATACATCGGGTTATTCTACTAGAAATAGTATAAAATCTATTGATGATAATGTTGGCAATACGATTGGTAATGACGCCTGCATAGATGTATCTAGACATATTGATGAAGGATACAAAGAAGATCATGAGCAATTACAACAAATGAATAATGGACTTACACGTAAATCTCTGAATAATTATTCTGTGGATAATACATGCTCCAATAACGCCTTAGAGAAGTATCCATCAATGATGGTTGATGATGATGACGTAAGTTATGCTGTTGTGTGTGTGTGTGTGTGTGCGAGCGCACATATAAGTTTATCCAGTGATTTATCTGTGGATTTTTTAAAATTAAATTTGATGGATGAGTGTATGTATTACTTATCTTAATAATTTATTGAAACAGAACCTTGATTATATTATGATGGGCACCAAAAGATGCGTTACACAAAGACGTAGAGTTTGTGTGACGACTGGAATACTGCTCGTGCACGCCTAGATCGAAAAAGGTGGTTGTCTAATGAGGCTTCCCCTCTCAAGCGTTTGATTTGAAGTTTGATCTCCAAGGCAGTGGGACAGCGTCAGGAGCTGCATTTGCATGGTGCATGTCGGTGTCTAGAACAAATTCATATGTCATTTGATCCGTTCGGATTCTGGAACCCTTGTACACCAATATGTTTAGGATCAGAATCTTCCAACTCCCCTAGGTAGGCGTGCGTGTATGTGGACCAGTTTGTGTGTAAGCATCGAATGTCCACATGAGCCATTCACTTTTGTCAGGAATATCTGTACCACGTGAAGAGAGTGGATAGAACTTACGTGGCAGAGACTATGAACATGTGGTCGCTTAAAGTCATTTCAAGGGGTAAACCGTTGTCTACTTGCCCTCAACCGTACGATGTCGTTTATGGAGGCAAAGCCCTCTCACACTTCATTTACTTGGATGATGTCCAGAAATTTTAATCTCCGAACCACTTGGGACTAATGCACAGTCATTCGCACTTTAGAATAACCCTTATATTTATTTCAGTAGAAGCCGTGAATAATCCTCCTTAGTCTGAGACCTGTTCAGTTAACTCTCCAACGTATATTTATAATGTATGTTCAATCTAAAGTCGACAAGAGGGAATTAATTATAAAAATGTTTCTTTCACTCCTTCCGAGAAAAGTTACGTAAAGAACTAAGAATCAATTCTGCATAATAATTGACAAAAAGAAAGTGTCAGGATTAAAAGTCACTGTCATCTTGTCTAGAAGATTGATAGATTTTATGTTTTAGTCATTTTTTTCCATTTCTTCCAATAAACGGATATGGAGATACTTAAACCACTGAGTCACTTTTCTGACAACAACGACGGTTGACCTACAGCTGTTGTTACTTCAGCTTTTATTGGTTGAACACTACAGATAAGAATAATGCTGAGGGGTGTCTCTACTAACTAGAATGATACTTCTTGAAAGTCCTATCATGGCATAAAAGTTAGTTGGTTGGTTAGTAATGAAGCCTATATTCTAGTATGGAGATGTGGTTCATTGGCTTAAGAGTCTGGTTTTCAGCCGATGTGTTATATCGTCTGCCATCACACGATAAGTATGACTCTTAGTCCTGTACACCGAAAAACTGTTCCTAATAATTCAGCTTGAAAAAAGGTGTGTAATCTAAAAGTGTCAGGAGATGGACGTATCTTTCCACTTCTAATTAGGTTTTGTGGACATTCCTACTTTTTTCTGGGCTTGCTTCCTACCCTTAAACTAGGTGAAGTTTTGGAGTGTTTCAACTGGGACTCGAACTCAAACAGCCTACATCTTACCATTGAATTACCGGCTCACATAATAGAACAGTTTATCAAAACATCAAGATGGCGGAGGGGGGGGTGAAGTGGGATCCAGCCCTGTGACCTACTAGTTGAAGGTGGAGTGGCTGAGTTATTAAACCACAGCATGAATGATATTGTTGTTTGTCATTTGAACTGCAACTTAATTTCGAGTGCTCACCCTATTTCTGATCATTTGTGATATTAATCACCTCTTGAACAATTAGCAGTTTTTCAAGTTGTATTCCTGATATTTATTCACACATGTTACATGGTTATGGTAGTGGTTTTTATCAAAGTAGTCTAGATATTTTCGCTCACGACCCATATTTTTGGCCATGAAGTATTCTTGTTGGGTATTTTTACTCTAGCAACGCCATTGGTGGGATATACCTGTTTATATATCATTGTTTTTACTTTGGTATACTCACTTCTTACTTATACGGATAAATGTAATTCCGAGCTTACGTCGTTATGTGTGTGTGTTGTGACTTAAGTAGAAGGGAAACAATTAGCTGTCCTATAATGCTGTCGGCTTTGTCAAGCTGTATGCATGGTCATTGCCTCTAAACCCAACATCGGTGTCCCTGTTCTATTTAAATCACAATGTTATTGCACAGTCAGGTCTCTTATTCATAATAATTGTATCACGAACCGTCATCAATAGAGTGGATCATTGAAAACCAGGAACTATGGGACGGGAAAAAACAAGTGTCTAGTACGTGTTAGTTCTGATTGGTTCTCTTACTGATGTCATTTGGTGGTGATAAAAACAAACGAACCCGTACAAACTGACACCCTAGAAACTTTGCAGTATTGAGTGACAGTAATTCAGGCCACGAGAGCCACCTCTTGTGCAACGGGTCATATTAATTATTGAATTGAATTTGAGATTTTCCCGTTGACTGATTAGACCGTAGTGCTCGGTCTCAAGTTGGCATGTCGGCTTCTTGTCTAGATGCTTCGATGATTCCACTGCTAGTCACCATCCATCAATTAAATACTAACTAAATGCTCAGTCATCATCGAAGCATCTGCACAAGAAGCTGACATGTCAACCTGAGACCTTAGCACTTCGATCCAGTCAATCGACGGGGAAATCTCAAATTCAATTAAACTTTTGTCAGTTTGTTTAATTGAAGTGACCTTTATTGTTTCCCGTATAAATTGACTTGACAGGTGAATGTGAGAGGGATCAGATTGTTCAAAATGTATTGCACAAATACATAACATCATATTTTTCAGATAATCTCCGTCTTCTAATAACAACGCTATCCAAATAATAACAAACATCAAAACACAAAATTACATAAAAAATGCCGTCTAGCAGTTATGCAGTCCAAAAGTTTCTCAAGTACAAAATACGTGTACTGTACAACAAAATTAATCGAATAAAAAAAAAAAATTTATATAAGAACACATGAGTCAGCAAGGAGATCCGCTGTTTTTCGTAACTTCACTTCAAAGCTCTACAGCTCTACTTAGGGTGTTTATATGATTTAATATAAATTCACTATAGAGGACATAGGTGACTGTCAGTTAGTACTAAAGCAAATTAAAGTGGATGAGTAATAAGTATGTTTGAAAAAATAATAGGAATAGTCTTAACTGAGTAAAAATGCCCATTAAAATTTTCAAAAGAGTGGATACTGAACAAAGAGTACGCTTTTCGATAACTTCATCATCAGGCTCTACACAGTTATATACACATTATAGTGAATGAATGAATTAGTGTTATTAACAATATAAATGTTGCTGTTTAAATAACATCGAATCGATAATATTGATTGATTACAGCTGAATAGCATCAACATAAAATAAGCTGAATGTCAGAAACAATTGGGAAAGATAATATTACAAATTCATGAATTTATAGTCTCTACTGAATGCCGACCAGGGCAGTTGTAGTGGCTGGCTATTTATTTATTTATTTAAACGCATAAAAAAAAACTTGGTACAATATGGCACCAAGAAAGATGCGCCACACAATAATAATAAAACAACATAGATCAAAAAAAAGGAAGGAAAAGAAAAAATATATATAAGTAGAGAACGGATAAAGAACTTCATCTGGAAGGAAAACAGTCATGCTTAACAAGTTCAAACAGTGTTCGTTAGCTATCATCGGGAAGGGAAGAAAGAAGGAAATTGCAACACATTCGCCATTGATTACGATTCTTGGCCATATCCGATAACGTTTCGAGCCATCGATTTGAGCTATCTCTCGGACCCCAACCAGGGAGTCGTGACACACCAACCGATGCTAATCTAGCACAAAAATCCTTCATCCCACGACGCCACGTCATGGACTGACCACCTCTCCGCCTTTTCCATCCCGTCCCAGGGCTAGCGAACAGAGACCTGTACGGAAGCCTCTGGGGTGACATTCGGAGCACATGTCCAAGCCACCGAAGCCGGTGTTTCCAGATGACGACATTCAATGAATGGTGATCTCCACTTTGTTCAAACACACGCCGCCGAACCTCAGAATTACTCACGCGATGATGCCATCGAACGCAAGCAATCCTGCGGAGACAGCGGTGATCGAACACGCAGAGTCGCCGCACATCCTCAGCTCGGAGAGGCCAGGTTTCACAGGCGTAGAGCAAGACAGCGGCACCGAAGCATTGTATACCCGACCTTTGACAGCCAGGCTAACGTCGCGACGGCGCCATAGGTGGCTCAAGTTGATGTATGCCACCCTAGCCTTCATTATACGGTTGGAAATCTCATCCGTCACCCCTCCGCCAGCACTCACACAACTACCCAGGTACACAAACTTATCAACAACTTCAAGCGGTTCACCCGAAAGAGTGAGTGCAGGTACAGGCTCCTGCCAATCTTGTAACAGTACTTTGCACTTAGACGGCGCAAAGCACATACCATACTTACAGACACTGATCGCCAACTGATTAAGTGCGATTTGGGCAGCCTGCATGCTATCGCACAGTAAGACGATATCGTCTGCATACTCGAGGTCGAAAAGTCTATCTCCAGGTAGCAGATCTACACCACCTTCACGCACATCCTTCAGAGCTGACTCCAGAATGTCATCGATGGCAAAGTTAAAGAGAAATGTAGAGATTGGGCAACCCTGTCTAACCCCACTGTTGGTTGGGAACAGTGGTGATAGTTGGTTGTATGCCCTCACTCTACCTGAGGTGTTTCTGTATAGGGCTTTCAGGATGTTAACAAATTTCTCAGGTACACCTCTCTCTAACAGACAGTTCCAGAGCACAGTTCTGTCCAACGAATCGAAGGCAGCCCTAATATCAAGAAACACAACGATCGTTGGCCTGCAATACGTGTGGCGGTGTTCCAACAACTGACGAAGGGTGAACACATGATCAATGCATCCACGACCTGAACGAAACCCAGCCTGCTCTTCGCAAATCAATCCTTCACGTATTTTGCACAGTCTGCGAAGCAAGATAGCAGCCAATATTTTAGATGCAACTGGTAACAGACTGATATCCCTATGATTGTCACACGAATTACGTCGACCCTTTTTAAGGATGCGGACGATAATGGCTGTGCCGGAAGTTGGTGCTAGCTAGAAATAGGTTGTGGCTGGCTGGACTTGCTTCTTTTGAACACAGAGCACTGGTTGTTTAAGGCGAATTACAATAGCCTCTGGTGTTTGGAGAATGCGGTGCTTCGATGATTTTGGCAATTTATTAGGCACCCGGTAAATTATAGAGAAGGATTCTTCCACGCTGGCTCTGTGGTCGGTTTGTACCAGATGGTCCAATGTCGAACCCTGTTAATGGTTTTAACTACACCTTTACTTAGCCATATGTGGGGAATGTTCCCGAGCACGGAAAATCAAGTTCCTAGAGCGACGGCCAAGTTCAGTTGAATTGGTAGATACAATTTGAAGTGGCTAGTCCAGGTACTTCATCTTTCAGTCGAGGTAGCACCATCGGTCGTGTAGAGAATAATGCGTGTAGTTCACCAGCAATAAAAGTTCTTTGAACTGATTTTCTCAATTTCTTCGGAATTATTTCGCTTGGTGTATTGCTCTTGAATTGCAGTCATATGTATAAAGGCTTCTTGTTTACAGATAGTGAGTAGTCCTTTTCCGCTTTTTTTGTCATGTATTTCTTGATAAATTTGTCGAGATAGCCATTTTCGATCAAAGTATCATATACAATGCATAATTCATCTTCAATTACTTCTGAGCATATAGCTCTAACTCTGTGCGGCTGAGGGTCTTCACTAAATTTCTTTTGTACTTGATAGGAACGAAGCTGTGAAAATGTGTTTATTATTCCATGTATATTATTCCATTTGTTCTAACTTGCGATTTGCTTTTTGTATTGATGTGGTCTTTTAACAATTTTGTATTATGCTGTTATTTCTCTTTTTTTAGTTCCCTGATATTCGATCAAACCTGATCTGGTTGTGTTCATTATCTATGAAACAAGATATAGCAACATTAAAACCAGTGCCAAACAATAATCCTTCTAGTTCATCATTTTCAATTATGTATACTTCTTCAGAGTATTCTGCAAGAATTAAAAGTTTAATTACTATTGTACGCATGGATAATAATTCTGCATGTCAGATAGTTGATTCATTTGCTATTTGTAGTTCAACAGTACTGTGTATTTGTGCTATACCAGGTAGGTATTTGTAAGCTTAGCTTATATTTGTTCATTTACTTTTATTACTTGGGAAATCCGCAGTGTAAATTTCACATCCTATTCAGGACTCGTCAGCTGGATGTACACCTGCAGTCTCTACTGAATGTCGAGCCGATCGAACCCATCGTTTCAAACTCCACAGCGTTATCCAATAGACCATCTAAGCCGCGAGAGCCATCACCTCTTTTACAACGGGTATCAGTTATTACTTTGTTTTTAATTCAATTTTGACCGAAATGCACGGCCTGTCTACATCCATCTGACGAGTCCTGAGTAGGACAAAATGTGTATTCAAGTGTTGGTTTATAGGGATTGTATTGGTTACAGGATTTCATCATGAGCTGACATCAGTTAGAGAACCAATGGGAAACCTGGGAGTACCGGACAGCTGTTTCATCAGCCTAGTTTGGGACTCTTCATCAGTACGCACCCACCGAGTTTCGAACCTAGGTCCTTCTGGTTACAAGGTGATCTCGTATACCGTTCACCAGCCACTCTGACCCGATCCAATGGCCCATGAATTCTAACTTCTGCGAATTCAAGACATAGCGCGACCCCAGCCAATGTCTTTGGCGGGTATTTGTCCTCACACCCGACCGGCTGCACCCTACTGGTCACGACTTCTCACTAGAACCCCAGGTAACTACCTACCTGAATAGGGAAAGTCGCTAGTGAGCATCTCATTGATATTCAAGTGTTGGTTTATAGGGATTTAATTTGATTGGTGGGTGCGTCCTGCTGAAGAGTCTCAAACTAGGACGAAACAGCTGTCCAGTACTCCAAGGTTTCCCATTGGTTCTCTAACTAATGTCAGCTCATGATGAAATCCTGCGAAAAAATGTGTATCCTTGATTTCCCCACTGCTAGTGTCACCACTCACTAAATTATCTTCAGACATCGTTACAAACATCGGCACAAGGAGCCGACATGTCACCAGAGACTGAATATTTCAACCCAATCAATCAATGGGAAAATGAAATTTGAATTAAAAATCAATATTCCTCATGCTGTTAGAATTTACATACATTTATTTAAATGTATGTATATGTATATATATGGTATATGTCATGTGATTATGCTTATTTACAAAATCCTGTGTTTTTATAATAATTGTCAACATATCTGATCGGAATGGAATGTTTATATTATAATTTCACTCATTCATTATAATTTATTGTGTTTGCTGTTTGTTTTCATTCCAAAGAATAACGACACCTTTGTTCAGAAACTACGACCGAGATCTATTGAGCTAGTGAATCACGCAAAACCGCATTTTACTGGTGCTTGAAGTTATTCTACGAAACATGAATCGTAAGCTCCACTGATTGACTGACTAACTGACTGGTTTCACCGTAGAACTCTGCACAGATGTGCAGCAGTTCGAGTCGCGACACTTCACTTAGCACACAAAGCCCGAGAAGAAAAAAGTAAAAGTAAATGCAAAATAAAGACAGTAAACAAAGATATGGGGTAAAATATAGTTTCATTGGGTATTATAAGTCACAAGGAGTGGATGCGTCTGTGCCAGCCATTGAGAACGATTTTGAGCCATATCACAAATTGTCTCCAGCCTTCATTGGTTTTTACCGTCCCGAAGACCCCAACCAGGAAGCCTACACCTTTCTACATGACTGGCTTAAACCAACTGTTGTCAATTTCATTGACTGATGAAGCCATGTCTTAGTTTGACCACCACTAGTTCTCTCTTTTCTAACCTGATCCTGTGTCAGCTAACATTTCTCGTCGAGGAAGGCAATGGGATTTCTAAGCATGCGTAACACATGTCTCAACCATCTCAATTGATGTAGCATCATAACCTCCTCGACTGATTCCTCCCCCCCCCCACCTTCCTAGCACTCGACCAATGCATAACCTCAGTATTGCTCACCCTATCATACCATTTCACCCGGGAGATAGAACACAGGTACCTATGATCAAAGACAACTAGAGAGCATTTCCATGTCTTCCGCTTTCAATGGCCAGATCTCCCAGCAATGAAGGAGGATGGAGGGGATCGCGTAAGAGTACACACGCCCTTTGGTCAGATATCACTTCTATGCCGGAGACGGCGTAAACTGGCATATGCAAAACTAGTCTTCTGTATCCATACTGAGATTTCTTTAGCGATCAACTACACTGGTAGCTGACATCTAGCAAACAACCTCCTTATTCGAGGGAACCTGATGTCGATGTGTCCGCATAAGAAGACTTAAGTCAATGCAAAAACTGGCGCGGAATTATGCTCCTGTCCATCCCAAGCAAAATACTAAGCCGCATCATCCTGGAGAGAATCAAACAAGCCCTGGATCAAAAACTTCGACCGGAACAGGCTGGAGTCAGGAGGAACAAATCATGTATTGATCAAATCGCCACACTACGGATCATCATTGAACAAAACTTGGAATATCAGTCATCTCTCCACCTCACTTCATCGACTTTGAAAAGGCCTTCGACAGCGTCGATCGAGAGGTGATTTGGAAACTACTTCGCTACTACGGGGTCCCATCGACAATTATACATCTCATCCAACAGTTATACGACAATGCTGCATACCAAGTAATCCACAACGGGAAACTTACGGAAGCCTTCGAAGTGAGGACGGGAGTGAGACAAGGCTGTCTGCTGTCGCCAATGATCTTCTTGATTGCAGTAGATTGGATAATGTGACAGACAACGGGCAATGAGGAAACAGCCATAAAATGGACTCACACAAAAAACTTGGAGGATCTGGACTTCGCCAGCGATGATATATGTCTGATTTCCCACAAAGTGGAAGATATGCAAGTGAGAAGCAACAAGTTGGCCAAAAGAAGAAGCATCAAAGATAGGACTTTAAGTGAACATAGATAAAACAGAGGTGATGAAGATTCCTGGCCAACACCAACAGCAACAATCAGCCAACATAAATGGGAGGAACCTGAAAGAAACAGCCTCCTTCACCTACCTGGGAAGTATCGTTTCAACTACAGGCGGAACTGACGAGGATATCAAAGCAAGAATCGGTAAAGCAAGACAAGCTTTCATTACTCTTAAGTTTGTGTGGAAGTCGACAGCACTCAGCATCAAAAATAAGATCCGGATTTTCAACTCCAATGTGAAGTCAGTCAGTGCTACTTACTATACGGATCAGAGGTCATGTGAAGAGTAGATGAGAGCATGTGGGCAGACTTGGAGCGGGGTGAAAAAGGTGGCAGAAAACAGATGGCAATGGAGATGCGCAGCTGAAGCCCTGTGTTCCTCTTGGAATCAAAGGATAGAATAATAACATTTATTATTATTTTATTCTCTTTCCGAGTGTAACACCCAGGGTCTCGAGCTTGAGCTTTGAAGTTTCAATAGCAATGTTGTTATCCGTTTTTACGTGGTGGATTTACTAGTTTCATTTCCCATTCCTCCCTCTTTATCATACTTTCCACCTGCTGAGCCAATTTTAGGAGTGAGTTGGCTGGGTGGATAGAACCCTGAAACACATGCGTGCCTGGATAGCATTCTACCGTTGAAATACTGATGCAGCGGCTGAGCAGTCATCTAACTTGGTCTCATAACCTTTGGGTCAAATAAGAGGAAATGCTTGTCGATTCAAATAAGCGATATGTAACGCGTAACTGGTCAATTAAAGTGCTTTGAAACAAACAATTGGAAGTAACAATGTTTTTTTTTTTTTTAAATCGTCTGTTTCTGGAAGCTACTTTCTTCACAGAAAAGAAGAATTCCTCCACCTAATGCATTCATACGAAATCTGTATAGTTTTGCTACCCCAGTCTTTCTGGAGTGGTATTTATAACAAAGTATTGTATTATACCTGAAAGTATTGACGTATTCATCACATGGTCGTCAAATGATTGGCTAATAATTCTAGGGATGGCCTTTACATTTTCACATGATCAATGCCTATTATACGCCTAAATATCCAATCCCGAATTCTCTTTATTTTTGCAAGTATTTCAAATCAGCAGACTAAGTAAACCGATATTATGGTCAATGAAAATTTCACTCATTTTTGTAATCCCTATAAAGTCGCACTAAGTGTAATCTCTAAGTCACTGAAGTGTGTGCTTACTTATTCAGTCAAGTTAACAACACCATATCGTTATTTGTCGCGGAAAGTGTCAAACAGTGGAATATGACATGTGCGTTTCGTCCTATCTGGAACTCATCAGCGTAATGTAGGTGCAATGTCCAGAGAATGATGATGTTTCCCCACTGAGACTTGAAACAAACATTCATCCATCGTTTCATACGCCAAAGTGTTTCCCTTCGGGCCACGATAGCCACTTTTTGTTACCCTTTCGCAGGAATCCTGTAGCGTTGTAGTTTGCATGAATTGGTGACAATTTACAAATTAGAGTGTTTCATCAATTAGAGAATAATGAGGAAAAAATCTGAGTACTGGACGGTTGTTTCGTCCTTATTTGTAACTTGCCGTCAGTAGTGCACAGAAGCTGCCCTATCAAGGCTCGAATCGATGCCCTTTAGGTTAAGCAGTGAATAGATTGCTATTCAGCCTTTTAATTTATAATGTATCCGGTGATGATTTTCGGCTTTCATAGATTTGCGGTAAAATTCGCGGCAAATGTTACTGATGATAAAATGTTTCTCACATCTCGTTTGCTGGACCTTTACTACTGAAGAGAATAGTTGACGATGGAACTTTAGGAAGTTTATTGAAACCTAGTTAAGAAGTCTTAAGAAGGCTATCTCGAGTGAATACTTTATATGCTAAGCTGTAAAATCGGGAAATGAACGAGCTCACCAGTGAATAATCTTCAGTGACCTGTGATAAACAAACAGATTTGAAATAAAAATGAGTTTACTAGAGAGATTGAGCGCAGCCGCCAACAAGTGTCACGGACAATTAACTGTCCTCTTATCAGACCTGGTGGACACTACTGGTTACCACTTCCCACTAGACCCCAGGTATATCTTGCATACAGCCAGTCGCTAGTGAGCTACATTTATAGCACGAATTGGTAGGAGTTGTATTTCATGAACCATTGGGACGGGTCCCAGTGATTTATTGGTCTATGAACTCGCCTTGCATCCGGAGGGTCCTGAGTTCGAACCCGGTTTGGTGTGTACTGATGAAGAGTCTCAAACTTGGACGAAACAGCTGTCCAGTACTTCAGTATCGACTTTCAGTGGTTCCCTAACTGATATCAGCTCGTGATCAATGCTGTAACCAATGGAATCCCTGCCAACCAACACTTGACTCCTTTATTTCTTTAACCGAAATTACCTTTTTAATGAAATCACTCGAATTCCGAGTTGAAAATACCTCTTCAGACTAGAACTGTTAAGTTTTGGTAGCAGTGGTTTTATTTTTATTGGGCGGGGTTGCTAGACTCTCTCCTCACCTTTCTTTTTTACCGTCCTTACTATCGGTCTAGCCCATCGGCCGGGGATCGAACCAAATGAGGTGTGGTTGGCGAGCATTCTACCACCGAACCACCGACACAATATAACTACGTAGTGTTTACTTATTTATTGTTATGTACTCGTCGAGTAGTTAATTGTCCTGACGCGAAAAGGGGAAAATCAGAAGACCACCACGTTCACGATGATATGTGTATTTTTCAACAAGGGAAAATGACTGTCACACAAGTGTGTGAGTGAAAGGGTACGTAGTGTATGTACTAAAGGTGTGAACAAGTGTGTATAAAAGTGTACAATGCAGAGTATATATGAAAATGACTAATATACGTGAACCAATAAGATAGACAGTAGTATTTCTTACCATCATTGGATTCTGATTGGTTGTGTGTTGTGTGATAAAAAGGTCATACATTGTTTATTTAGTTAACGGACAGACAAAGCATATTGTGAGTTATAATGGAATATCGATCAATATACACATAGCAAAATATATCAGACTGCCAAAAACAAAACACACATCATGTGACTACATATCATTTATCTATTCATTCATTCAATGACGTGATAAATTCGCACTATCGTCTCGTTTGAATTAAGCGCTGAAAATTGCTGTCTAGATGTACTATAAAAGCTTTTCATTTGAACCACAGAGCTAACAGAACACAACCGCATTGAAAACTTCTATCCAATCAAGACGTTTAGCTAACTTTTCTATGTATATCATAATTCCAAACAGATTATCCTATACATTTTAGTTATCCCTTTTATTATGAGAATAACACTTACTGTAAACCCCGATTAGTTAACAGTTTTTGATGACTCTCCCCGATGAAACGATAGCTAGCTCATTTTCCCCCTCTATGGCTTTGATTTTTAGTGTAAAAAGTATACTTAATTCAATTTTAGATTTTCCCGTCCATTGACCTGACACCGAGCACTTCGGTCCAATCAATCGACGGAACAATCTATAATTGAATTGAACTGAATAATTAATAAGACCTGTTGTACAAGAGGTGGCTCTCGTGGCCTAAGCGGTCTACTGGATAATGCTTTCACATTGGAAACTATGGGCACTGGGTCCGAACCTCGGTGGGAACACCATCACACACTTACTGGGGAATGCAGGTACACCTAGATGACTAGTCCCAAATTAGACGAAACGCGCATATTGTGGATCCACTGCTTGTCACCATCCACCAACTGACTTCATGAAATGTATACTGTTGCCTTTATAGTATATTTTAATATGTTGTGTGGTCTGTCTGATTGCTGTCCTAGTCGAAGTGTCATATATCCTGTCCCACTTTTTATTGTTGGTAGTGTTTAGTGGTAAGATTCCTGCCAACCACGCATGTGGTCAGGGTTCGATTCCTTGCCGGCTCACTCTGAAACCTCACCTAACCGACAATAAGCCATCAGTGAATCGGGGAGGTTGGTCATCAGGTTAGCAAACCTACCTTGTTGGAGAAACACCACTACTGCTGGAAATTCAACGCTCAAACTTGAAGTAAAGTGTTCCATTTCGGACGCAAAGAATCAAGAAAGGTGACGGTTAAGAGAAAGGTAGAGAGATACAGAGACAGATCCATAGTTTGTATCTCCGATTTATCTTTCACATTGTGTTTTACATAATTTCTACCATATGTGAAGCATTGTGACAGGAATTCAGATGCATCGACTTCGTGAGTTACAAAATAAAATAAAACTTAATTTTCACATCTGAGTGTCGGTCTTTCTTATAATCAATAATATTGTCACTTTTATCTCATGATGATAACTGTACATAATTTTGTTTCTTTCAGGTGCATCTGGAGAAGATTTCACTTCTCTTAAAGCTACACAAAGTTACTGGGAAATGTTGCCTATAGATACGTTTGACGATGCATCAGATAGTACCCAACCTTCAAATACTGAAATAAATCAAGGAAATACATCATGCTCAACAAATGAATCCAGTATTATTACAGAATTTAAATACCTTGATTGTGACTCCAATAATAATAATAATAACACTCATAATGAAAGCACACCTCAAAGAACAGATAAAGTAGTTGAAGATACCAAGTATCATAAAACATCAACACCAATGCCAACAATCACCAAGGCGTCATCATCATCATCAACATCAACCAATTCACATCTGTCAAGCATAAAACAGGCTCTGGATCATCTATCATCAACACGACGGCTAGTGAATGCCCTTGGTATCGTTGGTTCAGTGAATGATGTAGATGAAGTGACTATGTCGTATGTAGCGACTAGACGGCGTTTTGTTGTACGTCATCTAGACTATGATGCTGATATGAATGTTACAGCTGCAAGTAAAGACACACTTAGTTGTAAGTTTATCAAGTGTAAAATTTAATTTTTTTATTTTTAAGTTATTTATTTGATTAAGAAAATGCAGGGGATATATATTGCTTCTAGGTGAAGAGGCTGAGAAAATAGAGTTTTCTGAACCACTTGAGCAGAAATCTTCGAATGTTTGGCATGTGATTCTCTCCTGTCAGTTAAATGTAAGATGATCAGGCTACAGGATTGGACGTCATCGACTCTTACCTTAAGGGTAGGGAGTGAAGTGGTAGAGCGTGTTGACTGCTCCATTTATTTGGGAAGTTGCATCAGCCCCAGGGGATACAAAATGTTCGTATGGCATTTGCCAACTTACGCCATCTTCGGAGGGAGATGGTCATAGTCTCTGATGTAGACGTGATATTCGACTGCCTATTAATCAAAGGACGTGTGTTCTTCGTATCAGTTTACTCAGTTTCCTCCTTTATGACTGTGAGATATGGCCACTGGGAATGGAAGACATAAAACAGTTTCCTATCTTTGTGCATAGGTGTTCGTGTCCTATCTCCCATGTTAGATACTATAATATTGTGAGTGATAATGAGATTAGGCGTGGAGTGTTAGGTAACGTGGTAAAGTCAGTCGATGAGTCTGTGAAGCTACATATGCTGAAGTGGTTAGGACATGTTTCACGCATTCCTAGAGATCATCTTTCTTGACAGTTAGTGTTAGCTGAGATAGGTTCAGGTTGGAAAAGAGTTCTATGTTGAAAACAGTCAGTCAGTCAACTGTTTATTTACTCATTATTGTCACTGACTGAATAATTAATTAAACCATTTCTTGGTTGGCGATTGGCAGTGGAATCCAGAATGCTCATTTCCTCCTATCTAGGACTCATTATCTGGATGTACTCGCAATCCTCAATGAATGGTATTGTTCCAGTTGAGATTCAAACCCAGCACTCATCTTTTCAATGCGAGTTAAGATAAAATGTACATCCTGGATTCTCCCTCAATTCACCATCCACTAAACATCATCCTGGTAATCCTCAGGCATCATCGAAGCTTCTGTTCTGCTAGTCGACACGTCAACAGTGACTGAACATTAATAGGAAGTATTGAGATGAAATTAAACAGATTAATTTGATTATCTGCAGGGAATTGTTGTCTTTGAGTGTTGTTTGCAAGGATTTGATTGGTTACAAGTTTGACCACGAGTTGATGCCGTTTAGAGTACCAGCCGCAACATCTGGGACTACTGGACAGCTGTTTCGTCCCAGTTTGGGACTCTTCATCAGTACGTACTCACTATGGTTTGAACCCGAGAGCTTTCGGTTCCAAATAGAACCCATGGACCATTTAGCCACTGGGACCCGATCCAACGGCCCATGAATCCCAAAATATGCAACCGCTAGTCAATGCCAAAGATGAGTAACTTCTCTTGTCAGACTAGGTGGATTCTTCTGGTTATGACTTCTCACTAGAGCCTTCATGACGAATGAATAGATCACTCCAAAAGGTGAAGAAATAGTGTCAAATCAAGTGTCGTGCTTGATGACATATTTAGTTAATTTATTCGAAGACAGATAGGATCACTTAATCTAAACCCAATGTGTTAATAAAGTCAAGACAAGGCTTTTTTCGGAAAGTCTCTCTGATTAGTCAGGAAAAACATATTCAATAAAATCTTGTTTTCATGATGTAAACACACTGAAATTTTGTACAACAAGTTAGTAATGATACAGATAGGACTGGCTGGTGGTGCTTGAATTATTCTAGGACATCCGTACTACGTACGGAACGTTAGAAAACCAAGGTGTTTGCTAGCAGAGTTGTGTATTAATCAATATTACATACAATAGTGGCAGAATATGATCTGTACATATATAATTTATATTCTTCAAGGTATGAAAAACTTGTATATCATGTGAAATAATATAATACAAGTCAGCTGACTTACTCGCACTCTACTTCTTTTGTTTGTTTTTAATTCTTTCTATACTGGTTTAAAATCTACTTCCTTTCTACTGTTTGTAACTCTAACGGTCTCTCTGCTATTCAAGAATCCTGCAGGCGACGTCACAGCATATGCTTAACGCCCATAAACCCTCAGCCAGTAGCAATGTTATTATGATTACTCCCGTGGGTTCCTAGTATAAAATAGGGCTTCATCATGAGTCTTTCTTTGTTAGCTTCACGATATCTCCCAATTTCTCGTTTGCCTCTTGCATGATCTCCTCTATGTCACCTCTGGATCCATGTCTGACCCGTCACTACCTCCCTTAGGGGGATTGTACTCGACGGTCTGCGAAGTGTTGTCAAGTCCATTTTCAGTCTCCATTGCATCTTTCCTGGGTAATAGGTTCCCTGTTACTTTTCATTTCTGGTTATGCGAAGGTATCTGTTGATGAAAGTCTGAAGCAGCCTTTTTTTGGGATGTTTTTCGGGATTCGTCAAGTCTTTTAACCATGTGTTACCGAAGACCTTGACATTAGTGTTGAAAATTTGGATCTCGTTCCTTATGTTTCCATATTGATTTCGTCGTGATGAAGGTGTGGGTAACGGCTGAATTCACATTCGGCTTTGGTCTGAATGCAAAAACAAAGGACTCTATGTTCTGTTGCACAGTCAACAAAATTTCGTTGAGACATACGCTATCACGAAACGTTCCGAACACGGGAAAAAGACGAGTATTCTCTAATATTTTAGCGTTTCCATTAAATAATAATAATAATATCAAACCTAAATTTACCTCAACAGTGCCATGAAGCAGCTGCTGTACAGGCAATGTATATTTCTAAATAGAAAACAAGTACTCTAAGACAAAATTAGTTAACTAAAGTTCAACTGTAGAGGTTACCTTAAAATCTAGGAGAATACTCCTGACGAGGTGGGATCAAAAGCTCTCTCCACCAGAATCACACACCAAGACTTCCCTCAGGCAGTCCCGGGTAAGAATGACCTTCATTCACTCAAACAAACTCATATCGTTAAACAACACATTGTCAATATATATACACAACTACAAAGACAGTAATACAGTTAGAGATTAATCAAGGACAAAAGCAAATAATAAAGGTCAAAAATCAATATGTGGCGAGCAAATGTCGAATTCATGATACACAATCTAAGGGGGGAAATACGTATACTAATTACAAAGTTAATTGAAATATATTAATAAGTTTAAATATTATAAGTAGATCGTTGAGGAGGTGTTTTCCAAACAATTTGTCCATTACAACGTCATCAAAAGGTGTTTTGATCTTACCGAGGGACTTAAAGCTAGCTAACACACTCTGTTGTAAAGGTTTGACTTGATAGCGTGACCAGTTTCTGAAACAATACACCTTTCACTCTCACCGTTTTCATGAAATAAATCATTAAAAAAATATCAGTGTTCATCAGTAGACTTACATCACTCTTAGGTAAATAATAATATTCAAGTATTGGTTTTGTAGGGATTTTGTTTGATTGCATGGAGGATTTAATCATGAGCTGACATCAGTTAGAGAACCACTGGAAAACCTGGGAGTACTGGACAGCTGTTTCGTCCTAGTTTGGGACTCCTCATCAGCACGCACCCACTGAGGTTCGAACCGAGGACCTTCTGGTTACAAGGCGAGCTCGTAGACCATTGAGCCACTGGCCCTATTCAGGCAGTTAACCCGGGGTTCTGGTGGGAAGCCGTGACCAGTAGGGTACAGCAGGTCGAAGATGAGGCAGTAACTCATCGAAGAAGACATTGCGAAGTGGTAGCGCTATTTCGTGAATTGGCAGAAGTTAGAATTCAAGAACCATTGGATCGGGTCCCAGTGGCTTAATGGTCTACAAGCTCTCCTTGTAATCAGAAGGTCCTGGGTTGGAACCATGGCGGTGGGTGCGTACTGATGAGGGGTCCCAAACTAGGACGAAACAGTTGTCCAGTACTCCCAGGTTTTCCAGTGGTTCTCTAAATGATGTCAGCTCATGAATAAATCCTTCATGCAATCAAAATAATAATAATCATAATTTTCAACTTGATCTGAAAACCACGCTTCAATTAAATTCACAATGGAAATAGAAAGGGAATCAAAGATTACATTTGTGGATGTTGAATGGAAAAGAAGAGATGATGGAACTCTGAAAAGATCGATGCACAGTTGACCATCATGGAATGGTCAGCTGACAAACTTCTGTAGTTGGGTACCTGAGAGTCGACAAAGAGCTCTCATTATCTTACTGGCCTAGTGTATCGGAAGAATTTGCAGTATTGATTGCTTAGAAGAAGAGTTCTTATTTTTTGGAAATATCCTGGTTCAAAATGGATACCCGGCACGTTTCGTGGAGAAGAGCATCAAACCAAAGCCAAAAGGAGAAGAATGCAACCAGTACTCCCTCTATTTCGGCTGAGATTCAGTAATCACTTTATCTCTACGACTATCTGAAGTCTATTTTGAAAGTACACTGGAGTTTTCCACTTGAGAGTGATGTAAGAAACTGTTAGGTAATATGAAAATTAAGTAGATTATTGTACTTCTGTTAAAGAAAGGTTTTGCGAATTAATATCTGCGCAATAGATATGGCGAAGCTAATCGAGACGAACTAGATATACACTGATGAAACCGCTGAATGACATTACATCCCTTGAGCGGAACACAAGTGGGAAACGGCGAGTTGCTGTTTAAGAGTTCCAGTATACCTTATGTAGTGATGTTTTATAAATAGATCGTCTAGGAGATATTTCCAAAGTAATTTGTGTGAACCTGGTTTTGATATCCTCGTTTGTGTCAACTATAACTGAAATGTTTCTGACCTCATTTATACTTCCCCTATTGACAGTGATTGGTGCTTGTTTTTATTAGTGACTGGGCACCTTCATCACCTCTGTTCTCTTTGTTGCCCACTTGAATTATCGTCTTCCATGCCTCTTCTTTCAACTTGTTGGTTTCTGTCTATAGTTCTTCAAGTTTGTGCAGCAATAGACATAAATCAATTGAGAACTGTAGATCTAGCGTCTTCTTGTCGGTTCAACATCCAACGTTTGCCTGTGTTTTGAACCCTCCCCGGCCTGTCGTGTGTTTCGGTTTACCACAATGAGAAATGTAATGGGCGTTAGCAGGCAACCTTGTCTTATAATTAGAAGTGTTTAAAAACTTTATATATTTATATATGAATGGAATAAATCAATATTCCTTGTGTAATAATCATATAATTTTATCATTTTTCTTGAATTTTCACTAGACCGATCCGCCACAACTATCAGTGAAGATATTGACATGGATAATGATGATATTGAGGATAATAGTGATTCTCAGTGTGCTTGCTCATCTTCTACTCAACCTCATCGTCAACATCACTCCACCGAATGCTATTCTAATTCTTCAGAGTTATCAAATCAACCCACAATGTGGTTTGGTTGTCAAAATGGTGATTTATACGTTCATTCATGTGTATCTGATTGGCGCAAATGTTTGCATGCAATACGCTTGCCTGATTCAGTAACACAGATATGGTATGTAGCTGAGACCATTGTTTTGTGTATCTCTTTTTTTATTCCTTTAAGTTACTCCTAGTGGAACATATGGCTGGAAACTAGAGGCTTGAAGTTTCTATTATCAGTGCTGTTTATTTTTACGGGATAAGATTGCTAGCCTCATGCCCAACCTTCCCTCTTTACCATTCTCATTACTGGTTTAGCGACGTAAAGGGATGCGTCGTTAGCCGGGGATCGAACCACATGAGGCGTGGTTCTTCTTATGGTGTTGTGACCAGAAAAACTACTCATGAGTATATAGGACTTGGGTATTGAGGTAGAGAGCGTAACTCAATCATAGGCTAAATGTATTCAATGAAAGCACACCGCTATTATTATTGTTCTTTTGTGTTCTGACTGACACTTATGGCTTCAATAGCAGATCTCTACTTTATCCTCCTCAATGTGCTGCCCTCTCTAGTTGGCCTCACCATTGCCCACAGTCTCTCATCTCTCCCTCTCACGATCTCCTCCAAATTACCTTCGGACTCTTAAGTGGTCATTTTCTTTCCGAGTTCCACTTGAGCGATATCCTGGCGCGCACAATATCATTCGACAGTCTTCTCAGTATATATCCTATTCGTCTCCATTTTCTTCTGCCTTTTGGTTGCAGGCACACACTGTGGTACAGTATTATTTAATAATGACTTTTCGGGAGCCACTTATTGTTGCTCATAATCATATCAAGGCACTAATCACACAACTTTCTAACTTCATTTATATAATTCCATCATTATTTTGCATAGCTTGACTTCATTGGTAGTAGTATGTTCCATATTTCTGGTATGAGTAACGAGTCATTCCTATTGCACTTGTTGGGCATAGACTCGATGAACATGGATTCAGTAATCAACCTCTCCCTCCTCCTACTTATGTAACTTCTTAGAATTTTAACCCTCTCCCACCCTATTGTGTGGTTGTGAGTCGATGCATTCAGTGAAACTGGTGAGTTTCGTTTTTCTAAATTTCTTATGTTCTGTTAAACTAACTACCAGCGATCTATTAGTTTAGAAAATCAAAACAAGTGATTCAGCGAAGAGACTATTTTCAACGAATTTATCATCAAGCTGTACAATCGTATATATATATATATATATGCTTTTTAAGAAGTTATTTCCGGTGAGGGAATTGAATTATGGGTGTGAATGCATAAAATAATAATAATAGAAGTATGAAATGCAAATTAAAACTAAAATGTTTGCTATTATAATCATAGTTGAATGTCAAGTGACAAAGCAAACTAATGATATATATATATAATAATTCATAGGATGTATGGAACTTGAAAAAGCATGTGCAATTATAGGATTAGTAGACAAATCGAATAAAACAAAGAGCGTTACGTAATATTGTGTGAAATATGATAACATAGAATTTAATGTTGTAAAAAAGAATTGATTTAGAATGACCTGTTGCACTACAGGTGGAATAATACCGGGGACAGTTCAAAGTGAGAGGGGGTAACAATTGTAATAGTAATAGTAACAATTGACGTAATAAGGAAGAGACTACAAACTGAATAGACAAAATGAAAAAATGAAAAATTGGTAGAGCTAAAATATGATTGGGGATTACCATACTTTAGTATAGAGGGATTAAGACCATGAAAGTTAGAGGGGTTGAAAGGACTTCTTCTGTATACAGAGATCTGGCTTTTCTGTTTCGATAGCCAAAGCTTCAGCAATACAGATGAGTCGGGTACGTAGGGTAAATTACTTTTTTGCCTTGTAGATGACCTTAAAGGCAGAGGCTATAGAGATAGGGTGATCACTATCGACCAGATGTTCAATAATCGCGCTTCTTATTGCTCCACTTCCACCTCTTTGCAGCCATGCAGGATAGTGTTCTTGCCCCCTCTTAGACAAAATTCGAGTCAAACGACCGATATACCTAGCTTCACACGAGCAGGTGAATTGTTAAACACACAGAGAGTTGGTCAACAGCGGGATCTTATCCTTCCGGTTATTGAACAGTAATGGTCGGCTAGTAAAGGCTATTTTCAGAGATGCGGCAGGGAATGTTCTTTTCAGGAACTGTGATATCCTTCGTTTCATGATATCGGAAGCTTAGTCCCCTTTGAACTCCAAGCTCATTTAAAGTATTTTCTTGGGTATGGATGATAAGTCACGTTTTATAGGATTTGAATGTATATTCTTATCTATAAAACGTGGTGGGAATCCATATTCTATTAGGATTTTCCTCAGAAGATATAACTCAGCTTCCACAGTATCAGGACTACATATGCGCCGTATACGAGTGGCAAGCGACCGGATCGGGTTTTGTTTACAACCAATGGGTACCCAGCTGTAGAAATTTGTTAGTTGACCATTCTGTGACAGCTTTCGATAAGTCAATCTCTTCATAGTTCCATCGGTCCTCCTTGATAAGTTCACATCGAGGATATGAATGCTAGACTCGTTTTCCATTAGTTTGACCTATGTAGTTGGCTTAACTCACAGTTATTGCAAGGTATTTTGTAAATTATATTATTTTGTTAAATTGGGTCACTAGGTGTCCTTAACCCACAGAACTTGTCCCTGGCAACCTGATCCCTCCTTTTCTAAGAATCCTACACAGTGTTTTAGATGTCTCTTCCTTATATGGCAAAACTGTAGATTTCTTAAATGGCTTTCTTATTCGTCTAATAGTCAGGAGTTCCACTACTATTTTTCCAGTTTTCTTGTAAGCTTTCTTGACCTTCTAAATGAATTCTATGCATAATTTAGAGAAAATCTCAGCAACTGTAATTCATGCATTAACACCCAATTCCACAATAGGGTGGGACTGAAGTACAATTCTAAAGTGCAATATAGATTTGTATAGAGAAAGAGGTAGGTTGGTCACTGCATCCTTATCCAACGAATATACGCCTAACACGTGCAATAGGAATGACTCAACGCCAATACTCGTGAAATATGGAGAATATTACTACCAGTAAATTGCAAGGATAATCAATAATAGAATTAAGTAAGTGAAGTTTGAAAGTTATGCGGAGAGACTTGATACATCTATGAGCGGCAATAAATTGTTCTCGTAACATCATTATTGAACAATAATACTGTATCTGTGTGTGCTTTTATCTGACTACCTGCCTGACTAACTGAATTTCAACGTAGAACCTAATAATAATAATAATATTGATTTACTTTATTCCAAAAACAGTACTTGTGATACAGAATGGAATTTTCAGCATTATTCACAATATTCTATCTAATTTCCTCAAATTATAAATAAAATTAATCACACAGAAAATTTTCCATATTTACAATAGGGGTAATGTCAAAAACATGCAGCATATAAAATGGAAGTAATAATAATAACAACTAAGTTAGTGATAATAAGACAAGTGAAAATTGCCGTGGGCTTGTTTCACACAGTATTGTCGATGCGGTATAGAAATTCTAGCATGTTTGAAAAAATGAATATAGTGTCCTCTTTACATGGTATGGTGAGGAGAAAAACAAAGATTACAGCAGTCATAGAGATAAGTTGGTATTTGGAATTATGAGAGTAAAACAAACAAAGAAGTGACAGGACCATAAATATAATACAAATAATGAAAGTAAAACTTGAAGGTATATAAAGATGGATGGAGAAAACTGTTTATTTACTAGACGAAAAGAAGGTTAGTTAATTGTTGCCTGACACTATTTTCATCACATAAAATACATACCAAGTATGGGATTATAGAACTTTTATACTTAGACGTGCGAGCATACAGTTTTCTGAAGTTACTTCTTGTTCTACCTGAAGAGATGCAAGTTGAGAACTGAGGGTAAAGTGGATGCCCCAAATCAGATAAAATCCCTTTAGCAAATTTATTGCACGAAGTGCCTATCAACAACGACGTTAACTATGTGGTCCACTGGGACACCACTCACCCTACTGACCGTCTTCAGCATTCTACGAATTGTGACTTAGTCCTTTTTAAGCAAACCGGGAAAGAATAAGGGTGAACAATAAAGAAGAATAGGTAGGATGCAAGAGTTTATGAACTGTAAGATGAGGGGTTGAGTTATATCCGAATGCCTTAACTTCTTAATGTAAAATGTTAGGTGGAATATTTTACTGAAGATCGCTAAGACATAGGAAGACTAGGAGAGATCAGAAGAGAGAATAAGTTGTGCTTTTACTGAATAAGCTTATTCTTTATTAGATGGTTGGAGGCGATCGGCCACAGGAAGCCTTGGACATTGGTTTCGTGCTATTTGGCACTCACTGGTCAGCAAGGTGTATCTGTAACCTTGAAGGAACTAATGTCCCTCCTGAGATTCAAACCCGCATCACCGAGTGCTGCAGTCAGAGACTTTACCACTGAGCTATTCGGGCTCGCGACACTAGTTACTAATATCCAATCAAAACTTATTCTATGACAGTATTGCAATGCTTAGTTTTTAAACCTTTCCTAACCCTCTGTTTCTATCTATAGGTAGCCGATGTTTCGATAAACCAGGTTTTTGAAATTCATTCACGCAAGAAGCCTCATTATTATTTGTAGCTTTTAACACCTGTAGCAATTGACCGAATCTCTTAAACTGCTCTGATATTTTAATACCTGTAGTCCAACCAACCGCCTAAGTATGCTAAAACCAACGTGATATTAATTCTAGTTCAGTCAGTGATCGATTGAACAGTAATAAGTGAGTAACTGTGAGTATCACAGGTTTAAACATGTTTAGCTCAGGGTAGAAAATGACGTATACCAGCTGGATTGTGAATTGTTCTCATGTTTCAATAAATATCTCTCTTTTTATGTATTTTACGATTATTCTGTTTCTGTCGATCGATAATCTTAGTTTTTTAATTTTGCTTTTTTGCTTATTCTTTCTTTCAATGTTTATTTTTAAAAATATATTTTGTTTGACCAAATTTTTGTTTGAAGTGCTGACTGGCGCGGTAAAACTCGAAATCTCTCTCTCCCTAAGCGCCGTGTTTCGACAGCGCAAACTGCTAAGTTGTGGTCAAAGTATTACTGAATAAGAATAGTAAATAAACTTTGTCTTTGTAAACTAAAACCACTTGTTTAAACTGCTTTTAAATTTCACGAATCTCAAAAAATGATTAGACTGAACGAACAGTCAATATTAGTTTTCTGTATGTACTCGTTTTTTTTTTGGTTGTACCTTCCTCTCTCCTAAACATCAAGACGCCTAGGAAGGAAATAACATGATTTCTTTCCTTTTCAATAGTAAAATTTATTTCAGCGCGGGAGGGTGGGTGAGGGTGCACATCATAAAATTTGTCAAGGATATTCTTTGCTTAATTCTCGTTTTTCCCCTCATAATCTGTCTGTCTGTTTTCGATATAGAACTTTGCACCGATGTCCAGCAGTTCAAGTCGCCACACTCCATCTTTGTAGCACACAAAGCAAGAGAAGAAAGTAGAAGAAACGCATAATAGAGACAGTAAACAGAGAAGTGAGACAAAGGAATAGTAATAACGAAGAACAATAGAGTTTCATTGGAAATTATAAGACACAAGAAGTGGATGCATCTGCGCGAGCCGTTGAGAACAATTTTGAGCCATATCACCAATTGTTTCCAGTCTTCATTGGTTTTTACCGTCCCGAGGACCTCAACCAACCAGGAAGTCTACACCTTCCTACGTGAATGGCTTAAACTAACTGTTGTAGATTCGATTGACTGGTGCCATGTTTTAGTTTGACCATCGCTAACTCTTTTCCATCCTGGCCCTATGTCAGCTAACACTGCTCGTCGGTCGAGGAAGGCGATGACTAGGCATACTTATTTATTTCATTTTTTTAAATTTTTGATTACAGCTTGATTCCACACTGTATTTTTGGTACAAGTATGGAATTTTCAGCATGGATATCGTTAGCACAAATTTTGCAGGCCGACCATAGATATCAGGTGTGCGTCGGCAGGGGATCGAACCTCGGACCATGTGGATGGTCGGCGAGAGTCCTAACCACTGTGCCACCGGCGCATACGTAACACTTGTCCTAACCATCTCAGTCGATGTAGCTTCACAGCCTCGTCGATATGTTTCCCCTGTTTACCTAGCACTCGACGCCAAACGTCAATATTGCTCACCTTATTATACCACCTCACACGGGAGATAGTACGCAGGCACCTATGATCGAAGGCAGCTAATCTTCCCGACCGATAGCTGCTACCTTGACTTAGTGGTCGGGCGTGCACATCTGTCTGTCTGTCTGTTTTCGACATAGAACTTTGAACAAATGTGCGCCAGTTCAAGTCGCCACATTCCGTGTAGCACGCGAAGCAAGAGAAGAAAGTACAAGAAAAGCATAATAGAAACAGTGAGCAGAGGTGTGAGACAAAGGAGTAATAAAGAAAAACAAAACAGTTTCATTGAAGATCATAAGTCACAGGGAGTGGATGCATCTGCGCCACTGAGAACGGTTTTGAGCCATGTCACCAATTGTTTCCAACCATAGATTTTTACCGTCCCGAGGACCCCAGCCTGGAAGTCTACACCTTTCTACGTGGCTTAGACCAACTGTTGTGGATTTCATTGACTGATGCCAAGTTTTTGTTTGACCGCCGCTAGCTTTTTTCCAGCCTGACCCTATATCCGCTAACATTGCTCGTCGAGGGAGGCGATGGCTTGGCATACGTAACACATGTCCTAACCATCTCAGTCTTTGTAGCTTCACGACTTCGTCGATTGATTTCCCCTGTTTACCTAGAACTCTACGCCTAACCTCCATGTTGCTCACCTTATTATGCCACTTTACACGGGAAATAGAACGCAGGCACCTATGATCAAAGACAGCTAGTCTTTTCATGTCTTCCACTCTCAGTGGCCAGGTCTCACAACCATAAAGGAGGACGGAGCGGACTGATGAGCAGTACACCCGCCCTTTGGTCGATAGTCGAACATCTCGTCTACGCCAGAGTCGGCGTAAACTAACAAATGCGAAACGAGCCCCTTGTATTCGTGCTGAGATTTCGTCAGAGATCAGCCCGTTGGGGCTGATGTACTTCCCAAATAAGTGAAGCGGTCAACGTGCTCTACCACTTCACTTCCTATTTTAAACTAGGCGTCGATGTAGTCCAGTCCTGTAACATCATCTTGCATTTGGCGGGAGCGAATCGCATGCCAAACATTCGTAGATTGCGGCTCAAGGTGTTTAGAAGACTCTGCATTTCGTCAGCGTCTTCGCCTAGAAGGACTATATCGTCTGCATATTCCAAGTCAACGAGATTATTCCCAGGTAGCAAGTCAATCCCTGAATCGCTGAAGTCACCTAGGGTTAAGTCCATTAACACATCTATGATGAAGTTGAATAGAAAAGGAGATAATGGGCATCCTTGACGGACACCACTGGTCGTCATCAGTTCAGATGACAGCTCGCCGTAAGCCCTCACCTGGCTGTATGAGTACGAATAGAGTGCCTTAATCAGTGCAATATATTTTCTTGGAATTCCCTTTACAGCCAAGCATCTCCAGAGAACTTCCCGATCGACAGAGTCGAATGCTGCCTTTAGGTCAAGAAATATAATGACTGTTGGACGCCGGTAGGAATGCCTATGTTCTAGAATCTGTCGGAGGGTGAAGATATGATCAATACACCCTCTTCCTGGTCTAAAGCCTGCCTGGCTCTCTCGTGTTTGTGCTTCCCGAGCACCACTCAGTCTACGCATGATTATTGAGCCTAAGACTTTAGATACTATATTAGTCAAGCTAATCCCTCTGTGATTATCACAGGAAGACTTGTCTCCCTTCTTGTATATGGCTTGCACATCGCGTTGACCCAACAAGCTACACTGGCTGGAACCAGTGTTTCTGCAGGTCCTACCATGCCAGGAAGGTTGTCATAGCGATTGGACTAAAAGCAGTTACCGGAATTGTGTAAGAATTTTTTGTTTTTTACACTATGCTGGGGGTCTGAGGGCGAAGTCGTATTGCTGGGGAACAGGAATGTAACAGCAGTGAGGTGTTTCCCTCAGATGACCAGCATGCCAGCCAGCTATGCTGTCTCTCCACTCCGGAGAGATGGGGTTAGAAAAGGTCGACCCCGAAAATTGTACATCCTGACTTACCCTACGGTGGTCCGTAACCGCCGCTGAGTTTACTATTACGGAACCAAACCCAGAAACCAGTTCATACAGGCCGTGTGTGACCGGTCTCAAGCAGTTGTCTTCTGGGCTGTGCGGTCATGCAACACTAACCCTCTTTCTGTTTCAGGTACCCGAGGAATCAGTCAACTTCCACGGTGTGGGCAGCTGGGAAATAACAACCGCCCACACACTTCCAAAAGAACACGAAGCTTTCCTGAGCATCATTCCCCTCATAATCAAAAAGGCATCATTATCATCTAGTTCACCAGTTACACCATTTAATGGTTCATTCTGTGATTTTACAGGGGCAAAAATGTCAGCCAGTGGTGAACTCGTAGGCACACCAAAAATTTTTACTTAATAAATAAAAAGGTGAACATTCATTGTGTATCTCAAAAGAAATTCGCTTTTTTAATTTTCGCTCCATAGAAGATACAAGAAACTCTTCGTATGTGAAATCAGTCAATCGGAAGTATTCACCACCGCGTATTTATGATCTGGTTCTTGACTTGACTTACTATCTATGGTTTCAAGTAGATTAAATAGGCTTACAGTCAATATATTGAGATGGAATTTGATTTCTGATTGCCCAATGATGTTTGGTATTAGTCGAACACACAATATTGAAGTGTTGGTTTTGCAGGGATTTGATTTGACTGGTTACAGGAATTTAGCGTGAGTACTGGACAGCTGTTTCGTCCTAGTTTGGGTCCCTTTAGTAGGCCGCACCAACCGGGGTTCCGACGCGCAGGATCTTCCGGTTAAAAGACGAGCTTAGGTTAGACCATTCAGCCACTGAGGCCTCCATCCAATAACCCATGAATTCCAAATTCTGCCAATTCACTATATAATGCGATCACTAGCCAGTGTTATCGGCGAGTATCTGTGTTCACACCTAACCTACCGTACCCCACTACTGGTCACTGGCTTGCAGTTGTGCCATATCGTGAACTGGCATAAGTTGAAATTCATGGACTGGCCATTGCATCGGGACCCAATGGTGTTAATGGTCTACGAGCTTACTTTGTAACCAGAAGGTCCTGGGTTCGGGCCCTGGAGGAGGTGGGTGGGTACTGATGAAGAGTCCTAAACTAGGACGAAACAGCTTTCCAGTACTCCCAGGTTTTCCAATGGTTCTCTAACTGATGTCAGCTCATGATGAAATCCTGTAAGTGACTTAAATTAATTAAATAATAAATTATCTTTCACTACATTTCATTCTATACTTTTAAAATGTTTGTATTTATTCTACAGTCATTTCGCTGGACGTGTATTTGTCAGTTTAGCCAATGGTCAAATAGTTGTGTTTAGACGACAACTTTCCAATCAAGTGAAGAGGGGTAATCTATGTCCAAGTCATTCAACATCTATTCAATCATTGAAGACTGTAGCAGCAGCGGCAGCATCAGTAACCACCACAACAACAACTGTGACGTCGTCTTCTTCATCATCTAACTTACCTGATAATATTTCGTCTTCTGCACAAATTCATGATCTTATTAACAATTCTGCTGACGACGATGGTGATGATAATAATAATAACAATAATGATGCGGTTATGGGTTCATGGGATTTTACTGAAGCCTGTGTTATCACATGTGGTCGACCTCAATGTTCTGTGAAGTGTACAATAACTATACCGCCGACAAATTCTGTTTGGGCTGCTTATCGTAATCGTATATTAGTGATTAATGCATTTACACTACAATTAGTTGATTGGTTAGTTTCTTTTTTTCTCTGAAACGATTTTTTTCGGGTTTTTTTTTCCTTCTCGTATTTCATACTTTTGTTTGTATAGATATATTTGTTGCCTCACCTTGTTACCTGTAGATTTCAATTGCTGCAAGACATCGACACTGATTACCAGTGTCATACTTCAAGTTTTTGAAATAATAGAGAAGATTTGTAGCTCAGGTGGATGATTTGCAATTAGTAGTGTTCTCTGAGCTGGTTGGTTTAGTTGCACAGCTTTCGTCCCCCCCCCCTTCTCGACAACATCTTCAGCGCAATATTTAGTATAAAGTGAAATGATTTAAATTTCTTCATGAGTGATATAACTGCATCTCCCGGTAACCATCTTTACATATGTATTGATCATTTTCTACTGACTTGGATTTTAAACTTTCTCGTCACATGATCTACTTTTTACTAGTTGGTATATTTCATCTATATTAACGTGATTGTTAATTGCATATTCGTTTGAGTACCAGGCTTCTAGGAACTCCCTGGCACTTTTGGTGTTTCCTCTGTTTAAGATTTTGATATTATCCAAGACCACAAAAAAATTCATCCTGCCATACATGAAACCAACTCTGAAATAACACCTAGAATACTGAAACCGTTTGATATAGATATAGCACACAAGCCAGTCAAATCGCTTAATTCGATATTATACAAACCAGAAGATCCAATAGAAAAAGGAGGTAAAATTAATACCATTTACAAAATAAATTGTATGAAGTGTAGCAGGCATTACATCGGCCAAAGTGGGCGTCCCCTTCGAATTAGAATCCAAGAACACAAATTAGCCGTGAAAAGACACGACATATATTCTTTCATATCAATGTACGTAGACAACTGTGGACATCAATTTGATGACTGGGATAATGTCGAAATTTTAGAGAGAGGAAACACCAAAAGTGCCAGGGAGTTCCTAGAAGCCTGGTACTCAAACGAATATGCAATTAACAATCACGTTAATATAGATGAAATATACCAACTAGTAAAAAGTAGATCATGTGACGAGAAAGTTTAAAATCCAAGTCAGTAGAAAATGATCAATACATATGTAAAGATGGTTACCGGGAGATGCAGTTATATCACTCATGAAGAAATTTAAATCATTTCACTTTATACTAAATATTGCGCTGAAGATGTTGTCGAGAAGGGGGGGGCGACGAAAGCTGTGCAACTAAACCAACCAGCTCAGAGAACACTATTCATTGCAAATACTTCAAGTTTCCTTTTTCAACAATGATAATCCTATAAAGTTCTACTAGTGTGACTTTGGATTAAAAAACATTTGGCACTTTAAATTTAAGGAGAAAATAACTGTTGAAGACACTTGTAAATTCTCAGTGAAAGTGAAATGAGTAATTCCAAAGTTTCCTGCGTTCGGCAAACTGGTCCTAACTTCTTCAGTGAAATTAATCGAAATTAACATGACAGAAGTTTATATGAATAAAAAGGATATCTTTTGTTTTTAAAAACTTTGTCCAATCATATGAGTCACGAAACAGTCATCAAAATATAATAAACAAACAAAATTGTATGAGGTGTGATCAAAATTTGACCTCACACTTTCTTCTGTTAAACACCTTAAACGGAGTGTACTTTTCATCAGAATTTGAGTGATTAGGTTCGACTAAAAGTTCGTGGTCGTAGATAACTGAGTATGAAATTATCTATGTATATGCAGTATACAATTGTCTGTGTGCGTGTATATGTATATGGGTAAACGGTTGTAAAACATTTGTTAGCCTCTCCATAAGAAGATATAGACAATCGAGAATTTACACAAGTATGATCGATTAGTGATATATATATCCGTTTTTTATTTATTAATCAGGACTTACCATGCATCAGCTAACTTCACACTTTCACGTCTGTTCAAACTGTTAGGATTCATCCATATATTTGGGGCTTCTGTAGTCAGTCTTTCCTTATAAGAACCAAAACCTTTATGCACAACCTTAGTCCTATGAAATTCGATTTTGTGTCCCGTTTCCATCGAACGCAGTGCAATCGTTGACCTGTTTTCTAGCTTCTTGAAGTCTATAGAGGTCTTTGGAACCACCTTTAGACACTGTTTGTGCTCCTTTAATCTTACATTTACCTGTCTGAAACTTCCTCCTACATATACGGCGTCACAGTCCCCACTATTGATCTGGTACACACAATTCTGTTGGCTTTCTTTTTCTATTTTATCCTTAACCTTCATCAGTGATGAGCGTAAGTGTTACTTGAGATGAGGAAATGCACTCTTATTTCATGATTGTTAAGGATTGGCTTTATCTCATCCTATGTTTCTCTGCAGTAAGGGATCACCGCTGTACTAACCCAAATCTTAGCAACAGGTTTCGATCCATCCTTATCCTCACATTTTAAATATCTTTTTATGAAAGCTTTGAGATAATTATTTGATTCAAGAGTGGATTGGACCAATTTTAGTTCCCTGCTGATCTCTTTCTCCTGATCAGTAACTAGACGTTTGTTTAAGATTTCATTAACTTATGAAATGTTTTGGTCTGATCACCATTAGCTCTTTTCGGACCTGATCTTATTTCAGCTATCAATACCTGTCGAGGAAGTCGATGGGTGGGGATGCGTAATACTACATGTCCTAACCACCTAAATTTCTTCACCTTCACAAATTCATTGGTTGACCTATCCTTCTTACCTAACACACTGAACACCTAACCTCAATATTCCTCACAATATTCTACCACATAACACGGGAGGTAGAACTCAAACATCTGTGATCAAAGAATGTTAGCCTGTTTATGTCTTCCACTTTTAATGAGCATATGAGGCAGTCATAAAAAAGAATAGAGACAATTCCTGCGCGGTACACGTATCCTTTGACCGATAACCAGATATCACATCTTCTCTATAGATGGCGTAACTTGGGAAATATCACACGAGTCTTTTGTATCTATGCTTAGATTTTGTCAGCAACCAGCTCGTTGGGGGCGCTGATGAAACTTCTCAAGTAAGTGAAGTGATCAACACGCTCGATGTACTGGAGTCTCTGCCATGTTTTCCCACGTCACTGTTCATTCCCGCGCATATTTCTGCTCATTATAGTCATTTTGTATCTCTTTTCTTTTATGTGCTACACTGAATGTGGCAAACTTGAACTCTTGCACTTCTGTGCAAAGTTCTCTGTCGGAACTGATTCAAATCATATTAACAGGTTTTATAAAAGTTTGCTTAATAATATAACATTTTGCCAAATATTTCATGGTTCTCTAACTGATGTCAGCTCATGATGAAATCCTTCAACCAATCAAACAAAATCTCTACCAAACCAATACTTGAAAATTAATCTGATGCTCACTAGTGACTGGTCCTATTCAGGCAGTTAACCTGTGGTTCTAGGGGGAAGCCGTGACAAGTAGAGTACAGCAGGTTTGAAGGTGTGGCGCAGTAACTCATCGAAGAAGAAGACATTGCGAAGTGGTCGCGCTATGTCATGAATTGGCGGAAGTTAGAATTCATGATCTGGTCATTGGATCGGGTCCCAATGACTGAGAATGGTCTACGAGCTCACTAGCCTTGTAACCAGAAGGTTCTGGATTCAAACCCTGGCGGTGGGTGCGTACTGATAAGGAGTCCTAAACTAGGATGGAACAACTGGCTAGTACTCCTAGGTTTTCCAATTCTTCTCTAGCTGATGTCAACTGGTGATGAAACCTTCCAACCAAGTATAAATATGTCATTAATTATCAGTGACACTAGTAACATTAGAACAAGACATATGAGCGAACAATATTGTTTTCAATTAGATCTTCTTCAGGCTTTATTCTAATTTACATAGATTTATATATAAAAAATTTATAACCAATGATGGTGATTTTGTGGATCAAATAATAATAATAATAATGTGGTAAATGTTGTAAACGTCATTAATAATGATGATTATAACGATAACAAAATAATGAAAATATGGTCTATGCAGGTGGAGATAAGAATAATGAACGTAGTCAGTAATATATGTATATGTAGACAATTCAATAAATAGATTAGGTCAAATCCTAAAAGTTACGTAACACTAAAGGTGAAGTGGACAGATAATCAGAGTTTAAATAAACATCATAAAAATACGAAGGAGATGGAAAACAAGAAAGGGTTCGAGGGCTTTCAATAGAATTCATCAAGGTCAAGGGAGAGACAAAGGTAGAACAAACATCTTTTGTATGCAAAGACTAGGATTGTTCTCTCGAATTAATTACCATAGCTTCTTCGGCTATGTGTAAAAGACGGATTCGAATTCCATTCGAAAGGCTCGATAGAATGCGATAGATAACTTTGAAGGCACTATTTTTGTCCACTTGGTGACTGCCGTCAATCAAATGAGCCAAAATAGAACTTCTAGATTTTATTTGACTAGTAACATTCTCTATGCGATAGGCAATGTAACCTAATAGACTGGAAGCCATACGAACGCTTGTCGCTAATCACAACAATACACTGCTGGTATGTGAAAACCATGGAGAAGGCTGACTAACTGACTGTAAACAACATAACTTTCGTTGTTTTAATCAACAATAGAAACACATAACAGCTATGTTGATTGTTGTTCGGCCTTCATAAAGAGTGAAAAATACAAAGTGCACTTTAATTGCCCAATAACTGCTAAATATAGTTATTTTAAGATTCTAAGCAAAACAAAGGGTGCATAAACATTCTTCCTAATAAATGCTAAAAAAAGTGAAATAGATTAGAGCTTTTCGAATAAATTTATCTGATACATTTGAATTTTCAAGTATTAGTTTGTAGGGATTTTGTTTGATAGCGTGGAGGATTTCATCATGAGCTGACATCAGTTACAGAACCACTGGAAACCCTGGGAGTACTGAACTGGCGTTTCATCCTAGTCTGAGACTCTTCATCAGTACTCACCCACCTTCAAGGTAGAAAAATCCAGGACCTTCTGCCTACAAGGCGAGCTGGTAGACCACAAATCCACTGGGACCCGATCCAATGGTCTGCAAGCT